TAGTCTGTCCTTACTGACAATCAGAAGGCAACCATCTCTAAAGGGTAAGGGCCTCCAATCCCAGCAAAAGGACCCAGAGGAGAAAATCTCAAAAGCTAAATAAAATCCAAATAAGAAGGATTATTTCTGCCTATGGTAGCGTAATGCCTAAAGCACTTGACTGCTGACCAGAAGGCTGGCAGTTCAAACCCATCAGCCACTCCTTGGAAGGAAGCTTGGGCAATCTACTTCCGTAGTGATACTGCCTCAGAAACCCAAGGGGAGGTCGCTGTGAGTCGGGTCCGATTTGACGGCACATAACAACAACAACAACAACAACATGTTTAGGAGAAAATGCCTGCTCCACAAAGGCAGAACTTCAACCTGCTGAGGGTGGACTATTTGCTACTTTAGAAAGATGACTGGAAGGATAGATTTCCCACTGCTCCTCTTGCTTTCTGTTTTTGACTTTACACAATGCATTTCCCCGTATCATGCAGAGAGATCTCTTTCAGTCATATATATTTGTGTTTTCTGTCTGCCTCCAGTTTCAGACCAACAGAATTAGAATTGTTTGAAAAAACAAAGATTATGCAAAGGGATATGCTGAGGTTTCACATGACGGGATATTCCATCTGAAGCTACTTACTGTTAGACTGGCACTGGCCTGGGGGCAGTCCGTGGTTTCATATATTGAATAATAGTAGTCTGAGTAAGGCAGTGATGATAGATGTGTCTTTTCTGAGTCACACTGCTGAGAGGCAGTCCCCAGGGCTATCAAGCTGTCAGCGAGAAGGATGAGGCCTGCTCCAGAGGCCACAGCACTCACAGCATTGGAAGTCAGGCTGCTCATGGCCTGGAAGAGAAATGGTGGCTTAGGCCCTCATCACCTAAGCAGCCCTGCTGCCATCATCCCTCTGCCCATCGGCCAGCAATGGTGCTCTCCTGGGTCTGTTTCCCCCTCTAATTTGTGAACTTCTAAGAGGCACAGATTGCATTGGATTCCTCTCTCTACTTTTACCCACTCTCTATTGTGACACTTAATATAATTTGTAAACATTGGTTGAATGAGAGAATGCATGAATAATTTCCTTTTTGGGGACAGGAGTTCTATCGCCTGTTCCCTCTGCCCAGCCTGGGAACACCAGGCAAGAATAGACCTTCAGGTTCCTTAGATGGCAAGACCAGACATGTGTGGGCTTTGATTGTGTGGTTCTCTCCTCCACGCTCTTAGAAGCAAGAAATTATCAGACTAGAGTGGGGGTGGGGAAAGGAGGAAGCAACTGAGGCCATTACTCTTCTCCATAGCAACTCTTCACTTTGCCTCTTCCACACAGCCACAAAGAAAAGCCACATCCTGACACAGGAAGTTCCTAAGGTCATGGATGAAGACACAGAGAAGGTGTGTGAGACTGGTATGTGCTCATAATGCTTGAAGCTGCCATCTAAACCCAAGGACTAAGATACCAAGTCTTGAAAAGTTAACAGAACAAGTGACAGCATGGGATGGGGTCACAGCTCTGGACTCAGGAGCAGAAAACCTGGAGTCCAGTCCCAGCCATGTCCCGACCCTCTCTGTGTGCTTCAACAAGTCCCTTCCCATGCTGAGCTTTACTTTATCATTTATAAAAGATGTAAGATAAACATTCTGATCTATGAAGTGGTCTCCCAAGTCCCCTGAATACATAGAAAGGGAAAACTATGTTTGGGGTGATTGGACAACCAAGTGGGCTCCACGTGACAATATGTGGGCTCCATTGCACATGTAGCAGTTTTGGGCAAAGACCATTCCGTGTCCCAATCAGTTGTTCTTCCTTTGGTGACTCAGCTCTTGCAGCCATGTAGCTGCAGGGCAAGGGAGAAGAGGACAGGGCAACCATCATCCCTAACACAGTTTCCTCCAGTGATGTTCAGACAGAGAAGAACATGTCCTGGGACTCTGGCACAAAGCCTGACATATCATTGCCTTTACAAAGGATACACCATATCCTCGAGAGAGCCCTCTCCCCAAAATATAGAATAGGATCCAGAAGAGGATGTGATGAATTGTGTTCTCATGGGACTGACTGACTTGTCTAACTTGCATCTACCTTTTTTCTGAAGTGCCTCCTTCTTTGAAGGAGAAAGCATAGATTGGGTTCCCCTGGAAGGACCAAATGTCATTTTCTAGAACCTTTGGGACAATAGAATGATTCTAAGGATTTTGTGGGAATCAAGAGAGATATAGGTAGTGGGGTGTCTCCAGCTCTGCTGTCGATGTTGACATCACACACTTGCCCCTCTCATGACCATGCCACGTACTGTCTAGAAACTTTTATAGATAGGAATATGCATTTGCTCACCCTCATTCTCCCTCCACCTTACTTTCATTTGCATTTTTCTTGGTCACTCCAGTTACCAAGGATATTTTTTTGGGTGGAGATGGTCTCCTGCAGTCCAAGTGAAGATGTCCTCTCCTGGGCAGAGAAGGAGCTCCCAGCCTGCTCCCTAATACTCTCGTCAGTGGCCAAGAAAATATATAAAGGCTACAATAAATGTGGGTGAAAGACCTAGTTTTACTCTAAGTAAGGTGGCCTTTGTCCTTAGTTCTTGAGAAATAACCCTTGGAGTAAATGAGGTGCCTTGGTCTGGTACCTCCAGGCTATACCTGAGGATTTGTGCTGGTGAGTGGGGGCTGGCTTGACCAGAAAGGACTCAGCTGGGAAGCTGGTATCAACGAGCCTCAAGAGGCATGAGTTAACATATCATGGAAGATTGGCCAGTAAAAACCTGAAACAATAAGCTTCAGAGAGCTTCTGGGTCAGTGAAAGGAAGGTGACATGCTCTCTCTGAGACAAGGTAGCTCCACACTGGAAATCTTCCCATCACCCATGAATCTCTTCTTTATGATGATCCTAATTTATATCCTTTTACTGTAATAAAACTGGTAGTCATACGTGTAATATTTTCCATGAATTCTCTGAGTCATTTCAGTGAATTAACAGACCAAAGGACAATGTCTTCTTAACTTAGGAGGTGTGACCTAGCCCTGGGTGGCTATGGGGAGAGACAGAGAACATGCTGTATGTGTGGCTGATATCAGAAATGATGAAGTGGGAAAAAACTAAAACTCACTGCCATTGAGTTGGATCCAACTCATAGCGACCCCTCCTTGGGTTCCCTAGGCAGTATCACAATGGAAGGAGATTGCCCAACCTTCCTTCTGAGGAGTGGCTGGTGGATTTGAACAACTGGCCTTCTGGTTAGCCATCAAATGCATTGTTGTTGTTGTTGTTGTTATGTGCCGTCGAGTCAGCCCCGACTCATAGCGACCCCTCCTTGGGTTTCCGAGGCAGTATCACTACGGAAGTAGGATTGCCCAACCTTCCTTCCGAGGAGTGGCTGGTGGGTTTGAACCGCCAGCCTTCTGGTTAGCAGTCAAGTGCTTTAGCCACTATGCTACCAGAGCTCCTATCAAATGCCTTAGGCACTGTAATTGATCTCTGCCTCCTGGGAACAGGCTTTATGTTGATTCTCTCATGAAGCTATTGTTGTAGTATATTTGAAAATTTCTAATGCTTAAATAATGTAAGTAAACCCTCTCCAAACTTGGAATATGACACAGGAGGATCATTTTATAGGAGAAAGAGTGTTGGGCTAGAAGGCAAGAAGTCTAGACTCTACTACTAGTTCTGCCATGGGCTATCCAAGAGACCTTGGTCTCCCTCACCTGCTCTGAGCCTCATTTCCCTAAAGTGTATAATGGAGATTTTTTTTTTTTTTTTTTTTAACTAGAAAAATTAGTCCTTAAGTTCCTTCAATTCTGACTAGCTGAGATTTGATGGTTTTCATACTTACAAAGGGCTTAGTTGATTTTTTCCCAGAGGTAATTGAGAGGGATCCCGTAATGGCAAACTGCTCAGAAAGAGAGAAATGGTCAGTTCAATTATCTTGTGGAAATGTGACTAATGTGTTACTGTCAATCATTCAGTCAATACGTATGTTGAAAAGCCTTTAGGGAGATAACACTATGGGAATGGTGTGGGTCCTTAGTGATAAGAGGTCACAATTTCTGCCTTCAGGGTACCTACACTGACTTTGAAGAACAGGAAGATGCTGAGAGGAGAAGGCTTTATGTTAATGGAAATCCTAGCAACTGAGGAAGCCTGGGGAGAAGGTGTCTGTGGAAGGGAGGAGGGTTGTTAAATTTTAAGTTTGAAAGAGAGGAGGATGAGACAGTCCAATGAGTTGAAGAAATAGAAAGATGGGGGCAGCCAACAGAAGCACTTGGGAAAGCATTCTAAAATGGCTAGGACATGGAAATACATGGGCTTCAAGCTGTTGATGTAGGTGGTGTGAGCCATTCTGGAAGTTGAGGCAAATGGGAAGGGCAAGGTCAAACATGAGGAGTTTTCCACCATAAGGGCCTAGAAGTCAATATTTTATCCCACTGGTATTAAGGATATAGCTTATGGTGGGAGGATGTTCTGAGAAGCTGAAACACCAGTTATGCTTGTGCCTTGAGGGTTGGGTATCCCAAAGACAGTCCCACGTTGCCAGCATGAGCTAATTGCAGCTTTTATAAGGGAAGGTGGAACACCCCGCAACTGGGTAGAGAAGTCAAGGATAAATTATACTTTGGGGGCAGGAGCAAAGTCTCTGTGTATGACCTCACAGACATGATGCCTTGTATAATTTATCTGCCCAGAATGAGTTCCTTTTTTTTTTTTTTTGAATTTGTATAAGATGCTACATGGGAAGGAAGTGTCCCTTTGTTGGAGGGGTGAGGTGGTTCAAACTACTTAAAAAAATCCACTCAGCTCGTCTTCATAAGTCATTGAATGGAAGACAATTAAATGAGTTTTTCACGTGCTCAGGATTGCCCCTTAACACATAGCAAGAGTGCCCCTATTCCCCCATTAATCCTACCATCAGTAATTCTTTGCAAACCAGTGACATCTGCTGGTGGTACTCATTTTATTGTTTGAAAATGGCCTTCTTGCTTTCTACCTACCAGATGGATTATTTTTAATAATATCCTTTTACTGTAATAAAACTGGTAGTCATACATATAATATCTTCTGTGAATTCTCTGAGTTATTTCAGTGAACTAACAGACCAAAGGACAATGTCTTCTTAACTTAGGAGGTGTGACCTAGCTCTGGGTGGCTGTGGGGAGAGACAGAGAACATGTAAAAGGACTGACTCCAATGGCCTCATCAAAGCCACAAAAAAGCATGCAAAAATGAAGACATTTTCCCAGGGGCATGCTGAACACAGCAAGGGGAGAAATGCTGTTCTGATATGATGTATCCAGTATATTACCTTCCCCACTTGCCTTCTGCCCCCGCCAACGCCCCTCTTGGCTACTCCTGAAAGAGGGCAGATCCAACTCCTCTCCCTGCATAGGAGAGACAGAATGTGGGACAATAATAGGGGAAAGTCTAAGGCCTTGGCCTTCTTCTCCCATGTCCCAACCTCTTGAGGACTGAGTTATTCCATGACAAGGCACGAAGGGAGCATTCATAAAGCAGGTTCCCTCTTGGAGACCCCACTCTACTTACACACAGAGATCCTACGAATGAGTATCCAGATATCAGAATGGTAGAGACTTCTGGGTTGAAGTGGGAAGAGTAGGAAGCAGAAACCAATATTGCCCCCAAGCTTGAAATTATCAGGCAAGACAGGATCTGGATAGTCTGCAAGACAAGAATAGATGGGGAAAGAGATTTTAAAAATTGATCCACGATCCTGAGACCAGAAGAAGTAGATGGTGCCCCGCTACCACTGCTGACACTCTGAAAGAGATCACAATGGGAGGGCCTGGATAGAATGGGGGGAAAAATGTGGGAGAAAATTCAAAATCTTAAAACAGACCAGACTTAGTAATCTGATAGAGACTAGTGGTACCCCTGAGACTATGGCCTTTAGATCCCCTTTAGGCCTGGAACTGAACTCACCCTCATGGGTCAACTCTCAGCCAAATATAGAAAGACCTGTAAAGTGAACAGTATTTCCAGGGAGGTACATATTTAGTAGAACAATCAATCATATGAGATGAATAGGGCAGCATATACCCAGGGATAAAGCTAAGAAAACAGGAAGGGACAGGAAAGAAGAATGAAGAGAAATGGTAAAATGGGAAGTGGGAAGAGTGCTATTATTTTGTGGGGAATGCAATGAATGTCACAAAACAAAATGGGTGTGGATTGTTGAATGGAACACCAATTAACTCTCACCCAGAGCACAATAACAAAAAAGAATGGTATTGTTCACCTTTCCTAAGAAAAATTAACTATTTTTTACTTTCATAAAATCTTAAAGGGTTATATTTTGGTAGGCAAAGTTCTTGACTCAGGTGCATTTGAATATGCCATGGACATGATATATGCTGATCGTGGTAAGAGATGATCAGGACCTTTCTTATTTTAAGGTCGTCTTTGCAGTAAGCTGGGTGGATCACTGACTAACAGCATTTGTTCTTGCTCCTGAGGAAGCTGAACTGCTTTGTATAGCTCCCTGTCTATTGTAATGACCTTATCCCCCATTATTCTTCCTGTGCTCCTAAGAACAGTTGAATTGTGCCTCTACATCCCAACAGAAAGCTGGGAAGTATGGACACATTTTCCCCCTGCTCCCATGACAAAATTTACACACATGGGCATAGAACCTATTCTGCTCAGCCCCATGGGCTTTCTACATCCCAAATCCTGATTCTGACAGGGACCCAAGATAAACCTCAAAATAAAACCACTCCACAGCTAAGCACCCAGGTAGCGTTTGTAAAGCAGATCCCATGCATTATACCATGCACGTATCATAGTAAAAGCCACAAAGCAAGCAAAGAAAAGATTATTACCCAAAGTTATAGTTGATGACACTGAATCAGGGAAGAAAAACCCTACAGCTGTCAAGACAGATCCAATTCATAGCGACCCTCCTTGGGTTTCTGAGGCAGTACCACTACGGAAGTAGATTGCCCAATCTTCCTTCTGAGGAGTGGTTGGTGGGTTTGAACCGCCAGCCTTCTGGCTAGCAGTCAAATGCTTTAGGCACTATACCACCAGAGCTCCTATGTGCTGTTAAAAACAGACCTTGCTTCTACATTCCAAGTTTCTTCACTTATTTATTTTTCACTTATCCATTCCATTAAGTGAAATGAAGACAGTGGTGGGTTTTTGTTTGTTTGTTTGTTGATGTTATCGACAGGATCCAGGGCATGACTCAGGAACTGAGAGGACATAGTATTGTAATCATCATCAACATGGGTCTTGAAATAGGCAAGGTTAATGATTGGAACTCTACTGGAGGGAATGGCAGTGACCTGGGAGTCACCATTATCGAGGAATACAGTGGAATGACCTGGAGAAGTGAAAGGAGAGAGAGTGAAGTACATGATAGGATCACATGGGATTCTAAAGCAGGCTATTTCAGGGATGGGGAAGAAAGATTGATCCAGAAATATCTGTGAGAAACTAAAAGGATATCAACTTCACCTCATGCCCCAAGTGGAGTGTTGCAGTGAAAGCAGTCCCCTTAGGAGGTTGTTGTTGTTGTTGTTACATGCCGTCGAGTCAAACCCGACTCATAGCGACCCCTCCTTGGGCTTCCAAGGCAGTATCACTACGGAAGTAGGATTGCCCAACCTTTCTTCCGAGGAGTGGCTGGTGCGTTTGAACCGCCAGCCGTCTGGTTAGCAGGCAAATGTCTTTAGCCACTATGCTAGGAGGTAGCTGATTTCTAATCGTGCAACAGAGAAAAGGACCTTTGAGAAAAGGATGTGAAGACAGAGATTATACTGTTAACTGAACCCGAATTCCAGAGGACACATTTGAGCCATTTTCCAAAGTTGGGACAAGTGAGAATTGATTCTTAAAAGAGGTTACTCAGAACCATATGAGAATTAAAGTCCTGGGTTTGAGGGATGATAGGCTAGGGTATTGGGGAGTTTTGTAGTGACTCATGTAAACAGAGAGTAAAAGTGTGATGAGTCCAGATTGTCTCATCTCAAAAATGAGGTCAAAATTAGGTCTAGTTTAATCATATTGCATAAATCATACAGTTAGTTACAAAAGCTCTACTACACTAAAGACAATTAAGAGAGACTTAGTTGAGTAGCATTCTGGTAAAAAAAAAAAAAAAAAGACATGGTGATTTTCATTAGTTTACAGAAAGGCCTGAGGATATAGTCTTTCCACAAAGCCCCATTTTATGCTCCATCTGGCTTAGAGTCAGCAAGGAAAAAATAAAACAAAATATTCTCCCAGATATATATTGTAGATCTGTAATCTGGATCCAGTCACAATCTATTCCCTTATCCTGTACCGAGATGGACTTACTCCAAGAACTGTGGCCTCCTTTTGAAGACCATTCTTCAGATTATGCTCTTTTTGGTAGTCAGAGCCACATTTCTTTCTCTGGGGAATAATGACATCATTTGGAGTGAAGTCGTTAAAGGAATCCTTGGTCTTGGGCTGTGATAGCATGATGCTGATGATGCTGGAAGAGACAGTGAACTCAATTAGGACCCGGGGTTTTGACTAAAAGGCATAAACCTCCCAGGGACTTGGCAGGAATCTAAGAAGGTGTTTCTTCATTATTCAAGGGATGACTTGTCTATAGGGGAAAAAAAAACACCTCAGAATGTGGGGAGCAGGAGGAACGATGGAATGCTAGCATGCTTGCAGTGTCTGTCCGTTGTAGACGACAAGTATGTCACTGGAAGAAAGCTCGAAAATTTGAGAGTAATCCCACAATTGAGAGACAAACACTTCACCCGGAAGTTTCTTTACAGCCCTAACTGTATCTGCCTTTCTCTCCTGAAGCAGCCCCTCCTCACAGCTTCTCTTCCCTTCTCCCTGTATCTCCTCCTCCCCAATGGTGCATTCCCACACCACATCCCCCAGGACTGCACATATAGGCTTCCCCGGTACTACTCAGTCCTCTATCCTGGTTTAATTTTCTTTCCATTAAGATGTGGGGTGAATTATATTCAGTTCCCTTTCCCATATAGGACCTCTCCTACCTAGAATGCCTCATTGCTCATTTATTGAACTCCTGCTGAATTCCAGATACTAGTCCATAGTAGCTCTAATTCTTATAACAAATCTGCAAGTAAAAAGTTAGTAAAAAAAAAAAAAAATTTTACGCATCAGAAACTCTAAGCTAATAAGTTCAAGTGACTGCTATTTTTGAAAATAGTTACACAAAGCACTGAGCTTGGGGCATAGGAAGTGTTTAATAAATAGTAGTAAATATAATTATTATTAGCTTTTGTTTGCATACTGGGAAGTACCTGAAATGGGTCGACCTGGTAGTTTGTTCAATACCACAGAACTTCTCCTCATACTCCCCTTTCTTCCTTCCTACCATTGGAAGTTCCAGTGTTAATGAAGAGCAGACGGTCTGCTGTCCAGTAGCTCAGCGGGGTAGCTAGGCCTGCGGTGTCAGCGGCAGGGCTTAGTCATTCAGATGCTCCTCAGGTGTGTCCTCAGCACAACCTTCTCCTGAGAGCCACAGTTTGGGTAACAGCTTGAGAACACCTGAAAGTACCAGAGTTCTGCTTCCTAATACCTCACCTCAATGTTGTGGGATGGTTCCAAGCTCTCAAAGGAGCCGTGGTGGCACAGTGGTTCAGCCCTTGGCTGCTAACTAAAAGGTCAGTAGCTGGAACCCACCAGTGTTCTATGGGAGAAAGATGTGGCAGTCTGCTTCTGTCAATATTACAGCCTTGGAATCCCTATGGGGCTGTTCTACTCTGTCCTATAGGGTCGTTATGAGTCAGAATCAACTCAACAGCAAGGTTCCAGGCTCTCTGGGATAGAATGCATGCCAGAAACAGATTGGAAATAGCACCCAAAATCTCATTACTAGTGGAAGAGAAGTAAAAGAGTACTAGACCTCTACTTGCATCTGTGAACATGTCTTAGTTCTGTACACTCCTGACTTATTGACATGGTAGGTTCTAAAGACCAGGTCATTATGTGAAAATTGGTATTATGGGAAAATGGAGGATGATCACATCATATCACAAAATGGAGGGTGATTACCTCATTACATAACTACCAAATCAAGCATTTTGTAACTGCCGAATTTCTTCATCACGTGCTACCAAAGTCCATCTTTATATAACTGCCAAACCCTGATAATCATGGCCCAGCCAAACTAACACATAACTTTAACCATCACAACCAGTTTTACTCTTGCCTCACACCTAGGTGGTTGTTACTGCTAAATGTACATCATTAATGTGGAAAGTAATTGGATAGTAGATTTTTTACTGTTGTAAATGTGAAACCTGAGATAATGAGACAGTCAATAAGTGGGGAGTAGATATACTTATTACTACTAAATTGACCAGTTGCCTTCAAATAGATCATGACTTATGGCAATCTCATGTGTTTCTGAGTAGAACAGTGTTCCATAGGTTTTTTGTTTTTTAACTTTTTATTGTGATTTGGGTGAAATTTTACAAAGCAGATCCATTTTACTTTCAACAGTTCATATACACATTTTTGTTTTTGATACTGGTTACCTTCCCTGCAGTGTAACATGTCACCTCCCACTTCCTCCCTAGGTTACCCTTTCCCTTTGTCCTTCTTGCCTAGGCATTCCTGCCTCCCTACATTTCTCCTTGTGGAAATGCTGCTCTCTGATCTTCCACGGTTGACTGTTCTAAGGAGTGCACCTCCCTGGTGCAGGTGTTCAGCTCATACACCTATCTATTGTTTGTCTGAGAGTTAAGCAACAGGAATGAGATCTATTCCAGGCCTGAAGGCTGATTCGGGGCAGTAGTGTCAGGGGTTTCACCTTCCATAGGGTTTATAATTGGTGATTTTCAGAAGTAGATCACCACACCTTTCTTCCAAGGTGCCTCTGAGTAGACTTGAACCTCCAACATTTTGGTTAACAACCAAATATTTAACCATTGGCATTTCCCTGGGATTCCTTAAACTCACCATCACCCACTGCCAACAAGTTAATGCCAACTCATAGTGACTCCACTGAGTTTCCAATGTCTATAAATCCTTACAAAAGTAGATTGCCTCATATTCCGTCCATGGAGTAGCTGGTGGGTTTGAACCGCTGACCTTCTGGTTACCAGCCAAGTGCCTTACACACTGTGGTAGTTCAGTTTGTGTGTCAACTTGGCTGGGCCCGGTTGAGTGACTGGGCAGCTGGTGGTAGTTATTAGCCATGATGAGACTGGCAATCAACTCCATGGTGCGATCTGCCACAAGCAGCTGAGTAGCTGCCTTTGGGATGTGGTCTGCTTCCTGTACATAAGGAGAAGCCTTGGGGATAGTCTCTAGCTTATGGCACCTTGAACCCTGCATATAGCCGTGCCATTGCTCAGCAGTCTGCCATGCTTTGCCGACCTTGGGATTTACAATGGACTTGAATTAATGGCCTGCCATGTGATTTGGTAATATCAGGACTGTGCCTTTTTACTTGTCAACCTTGGGTTTGTCAGCTTCAGCAGCCAGCAGCTGTCTGAGTGAAGAAAAGCCTCTAGCTCAGTGGGCTGGGAATAGAAGGCAGAGTTGGACCCCAAGGTTGAGGGGCTTTCACCCAGCCCCTAGAGCCTGGCACTTTGAACTGGGACTTGAAGCTTCCAAGTTGTAAGAATAAACTCCTGTTTGTTAAGGCCATCCCATTTGTGGTATATTTCTTGTCAGAGTGGCACCAGGTAACCACAACACCCACTATGCCACCAGACTTCCTTAAACTCACCTCACCATAGACAAATTATTTTAGTCAACTCAGATGTTGTGGTGAGGGCAAGAAGAGATATGGTGTGTAATGGGCTCAACACAGAGCAGGGCACATGATAAACCCTCAGTACATATGGGAAATTTCTAACACTCATGAGAATGTCATTGCTGATATTTATTAGCTAGCCATGGGCAGAGTATTTCCTCTGATTCACCTTCAGTTTCATAACCTATAAAAGAAGATGCTAATACTATCAGGAAGACTCATGATGATTATACAGATGAGGGCCATTTGCCATGCCTCTGGTACTCCCTAATACTCAATAAATATAAGTGACCTTGACCCAGATCTATGCCTTGGTCAAGTTTCCCATGTGATCTGAGCCTCGGGTACCTTATCTGAAGCGTTATTAAAGATAAAAATCTTGTCAAAGGAGCTAATTTTCATTTCTTGGAATTTTGAAATCCAGGCAGAAGTATGGGTGAGGTGTCATGAACCAGGGGAGGAATGATGTTGACACTGAGTCCCTGTGGGAGAGCTGGGGTGAGGTGGGCATGGAAGGTCTCAGGCCTCTTATGCTGAGAAACCCAGAATATCTTTAAAGCCAGAGAAATGGGAAAATTCTTAGGCATGAAGAGATTCTAGATTTCAAACTCAAACAGTAGTACCAAATAAAAAAAAAATTGCTGATGTTTATTGAGCATTCATTATCAATGAACTCTATTAAGAGCTTTGCATGAGGTCTCATTTAATCTACTTGACTGTCAGAGATAGGTGCTGTTGTTATTTGGATTCTGAAAGTGAGAAAAATGAGGCTTAGACAGAGGTTAATAGATGGTGTATCTACCAAGTAGTGCACGTAAGAATTCAATCCAGTCAACATCTATAGGTTTGGGGATGGCCATCTAGTTATGCCTGATCCTCTGTTCCTGCAGCCATCCTTCTCTATAGCTGAAGCCCACTGGCTACCACTGACCAGCCTATACCCACCCCTAGTAGTAGCCACCTTAGGGAAATGGGGGTTGAAAGTGTCTGTCCTCACAATTATCCCATGTTGTTGTAACAGCTTCCGCCTTGTTCCTTGTGGTTGGACAGCTCACGTCAGCTGACAGACCTCTTATTCTTAGTCTTATTAACCAGCTTCTCTAGTTCTGGATTCCTTCCTACAGTTTTGAGTTCATACCCAAGGACTACAGGGTATGTTTGATCTAAACCTGAAGGCAGGAACTGCAAGCACGATGAAAACCCACTCTGATACCATGGCCATGTGTTTTCTTTTTATTATTTTCTAATTATTTGATTGTGTAAAAGAGTGCATGAAGTAGCAAATTCAACCAAAAAGTGAATAAAGTTTAAGAAGAAAAAAAAAAAAAAACCTCCTTAAATCCCACCTACCATGCAATAATTATAGCTTTATACATAGCCTTTAAATGCTTCTTTTTTACCAGTCTCTCACATTGTCACTCTCCCCTTTCTTTATATATATTCATACCCACTGCAGGTCCAATTGATAGTGATGCTATAAGACAGAGTAGAACTGCCCCCCAGAGAGTTTTCAAGGCTGTAAATCTTTACAGAGGCAGATTGCCATCTTCCTCTCGTGTAGTGGCTGGTGGGTTCAAACCACCAACCTTCTGGTTAGCAGCTGGGAGCTAACTGCTGCAGTACCAGGGCTCCTAATTTAGATGACATTGTTATATTATATGAATACTGAAAGGGAGGTCTGATGGCGTAGTGCCTAAGGCATTTGACTGCTAACCAGAGGGCTGGC